TGACCACATACTCACCAACCGAAGATGGTGCCTACTTGACGTATCGGTAGTGCCATCTTTCTGCAGTGGTTCTGATCACCGCCTCCTACGAGCGAAGGTACGATTCAGTCAAAAGCTGGAAAGGAAGATTTGCCATCGCAGTCCACGAAGGAAGGAAGTCGTTTACGACGGTCAAAGGTTAGAGGAGCTCTTATCATGTTGTGAGTGGCCCATCGAGGAAGACCCAACAAAGGACTACGAGCTGCTTCTCAAAGGATTGGAAGCCTGTGGGTATTGCGCCTCAACAACTCGTGCAAGGAACTTGGATCGCATTTCAAGCACCACCAAGGAATTGCTCGATAGAAGAAGATCCTTGAGGCTGGATTCGAATGCATCTCACCTCGAGCGGTTGGTGGCAAATACCAGCTGCAGAACGGCATTGCAGGAGGATCTACGAAAGTACAGGCAAAGGAGGATTTTGGAAGCCGCTGAACAAAGACGAAGTCTGAAGAAATGCCGAAGGGACCTTTGCGACTACCACATACCACTGGGAGCGTTATTAAACGAAAATGGGATACCAACAACTTCCCGCCGAGAAATGGAATCGATCGCGAAGAGTTTCTACACCAACCTCTTCCGCTCATCAACACCCGTGCCAGACCCCGCTGTTCCCACTGGAGACACACCACCACGAATTCTTCCTGCTGAAGTACGCGTCGCGATCCAGACCATGAAGACGTCCACAGCTCCAGGACCAGACCATCTTTCCGTGGACCTGCTGAGAGCTGGAGGACACTGTCTACACGAGATTCTGGCGGCGCACCTAACATCTTATCTCCAGAAGGAAAGGATTCCCGACCAGTGGAGAACGTCAAGAACCGTTCTTCTCTTCAAGAAGGGTGAACGGGAAGATCTTCGAAACTATCGTCCGATATGCCTGTTGAGCGTGCTGTATAAGCTTTTCACCAAGATCATTCTCACTTGCATCTCAAGGACACTGGATGAAGCCCAACCTCCAGAACAAGCTGGATTTCGCAAGGGATTCAGTTGCATGGATCACATCCAGACGGTTTCGAGGGTCATAGAAGTTTGCCGGGAGTACCGATTACCTCTCGTCCTAACCTTCGTCCACTACGAGAAGGCATTTGACAGCGTCGAGTTCAACGCTATCCTGTCAGCGCTAGTCGATCAAGGAGTGGATCCGTCATATGTGAGGACATTAGCCAACTGCTACAAGGACTGCACTACAACGCTACAGCTGTTCCATCGCCCCCTGACCGTACCAATAGGGAAGGGAGTCCGACAAGGCGATACCATATCGCCTAAGCTGTTCACGGCGGCCTTGCAGTGGGTGATGAAATCACTGGACTGGAATGAGAGAGGTATACGAGTTGATGGGAGATTCCTCTCGAATCTTCGTTTCGCGGACGACATCGTTCTCTTCTCGAGCAGTATCAATGAAGCCGAGACGATGTTAAAGGAATTGAACGAAGTAGGGAAGACGATTGGACTGCGAATCAATCGGAAGAAGACCCAGTTCATGAAGAACGGCCTAATTGAGGATACGGAATTGAAGCTGGAAGATTCCCCAATCACGGAGACCTCTTCTTACGTGTATCTAGGACGTTCAATGAACATGCAGAACGACTTGAAAGAAGAACTTAACAGAAGGCGAAGAGCAGCTTGGGCCGCTTACGGGCCTTTGAAAGAAGCCACCGACCAACTAACGGACCCTGCGCTCCGAGCTCATCTGTTCGATTCAACCGTTCTCCCAGCGCTCTGCTACGCAGCCGAGACGTGGGCTGACACTGCTGCCACGTCGAAAGCTCTTCGTACCACCCACAGAGCGATGGAGCGGAGTCTTCTGAAGTTTAACCGACGTACGCAACATCTTGCCGGACTTCGCAGTTCTGATTTAAGAAGTATGTCCCGTCTACGAGACCCAGTCGAGTATGTTTCGAAGGTAAAGTACCGATGGGCCGGTCACATTGCAAGAAGAACAGACGACAGATGGACGTTAAGAACGCTGGAATGGATCCCTCGCGATGTAAAACGCCCTCGAGGAAGACCCCCACCAGGTGGGCAGATGTGTTCGTGGAAAGGATGGACCGGCTGAAAAACCAGCTGGAAGCGAATTTTACACCTAGATCTCGTGATCTTCGCCATTAACGACCGATACGAAAATCGTGGTTGACGCTTGCGAGGGATAGGAACGGATGGAAGCTGTGCTGCGGCCCGCACGACACGTGAGGACGGGCCAACTAAGTAACTAAGTAAGTAACATGCAGCAGCCTATAAGTGTTAGCGTTGCTGTATTTGCCGCCTTGGTAGGAATATCTGAGGTTTGGACAACAGTAGCTGGCAGATTAATTGATTCGGACGCATTAAGGCAGGGTAGAATGCTGTGGTTGATGGGCGTGACAGAATAGGTTAATACACATCTAGTGACCCTAGATAGTTGACTCATTGCACCTTTATGGTACTCTAGCAGAAGAAATGTACAACAAAAGGAAGTGCCGATATTATGGGCACAGCTTACGTAATGCATAACTATGCGCGGTCCAAACAGCGCTCTAAGTTACCGATAAAGTCCTTCTACAGGAAACCATGATCACTTGCTGATGATTATATGACATGTACTTCATATGTTTTACTGATTCTCATGTCTATATTTTCGAACCTGTTGAGGCATAGAAAATTTGAAGATTGTGTGACATGTCTTATGTTGACTTTAAGGAGTCTGAAAAATGAGTCACTGATGCTTTTCCTTTCTGTGCTCATAGCGTTCTTATTATATTGGGTTCTAATTGTGCAACTTATTCATGCACAAATTTCTATCTCAGTATGGATCTTCTTGATGCTGATGTTCTTGATGTTCCTCTCTGATCGCACACATGAGAATGTCGGTATGAGGCTTTGCCAAGTCGTAAAACCGTTTCCGCTGCGCACATTGCACACATGAATGCCACAAAGCCTTATACCACTCAAACAAACAAGACACCGTCGCATTTTTCAATTTGCTTCAAATAAATGTTAATATTTAATAGCAGAAAAACATCAGGGGAAGGACTACTGGAAAAAAATCCAACGTATGGCGCGCGCGATAGACGCGATCCCACTGACTCTTTCAGGAGCAGCCCTGCTCAGATAATCGCCGGGGGCAGGCGGCCATGCGATTCATGGGCAAGCGGGCGCTGGAAAAATTCGCTGATTTCTTGCGGTCCGCTTTTAGATATTTGAAAGAATGTCGACGAAACTCTAAACGATTATTTGGGGAATAATTACGGCGTTTTCATAGATTAGTTGCAGCGCAGTGGCCGCATTCTCGCGGATTGGAGGGTCGCACGGTCCTGTGTGAAGGAACGCACAGCCCGTAGGTATCTTCCGCCGAGAGAAAGTACCCCATTAATTATCGACAACACTTCTGTCATGTAACCTCTTATCTTTGCTCGGCGTAGCCCGAAACTGCGTATCAAGAGTCACAGCGCTCACTGAAAATTCGGCCAGCACTAGCTGAAAGAAATTATTTGACGACCCCTCGCAGAAAATTCTGTATTGCTGCCCGCTGGTAAAACAAGGAAGTACCACTCTCTGAAGTTTGGCCATGTCCCAAAATTCTGCTGACCCCCGGTGATTGTCTGAGTATATGCTGTGTAAGAGGTAAATTGTGGTACAACGCGTATCTTGTACACACGTTCAAGGCGAATAAACCCAGTAGGGATAGGCGCCACATGCGCAAACTCTGTTATTCTTACCGTACCTTAGGTTCAAGGGTAGACAACATTAAGGGCCGCATGCACTAACCTCCCCGCGGGGAGGGGATTGCAGCTTAAAAGAAAGCTTTATATTTCGAAACTCCAGATACCTGGATTTCACATTGTGTACCTATCCGTAAGTATTCCTACTACCCTTCACTATGAACATGTTGAACAGGAGCGAGAAGCTGTACGAATCGCATTTTCCAGCTTTTGTACGATCCCTGATGATCCCCGGCGCTTTTCTTTAAAGTCATTTTTCTTTCTCCGAAGTTAACGAAAACCTTCCAAAGTTGTACTGGACATCTAACACAACAGTGCTAAGCATGTTGCTGATGAGAACAAATGAGTTTTTGAAAAGTCGAATTTTTCGCTAAACCTCAAATTTCGACCTGTGGATCATCGAAAATTTCATGACTTCAAAACATCATTTGTTCTAATTAGCAACATGCTTAGCACTGTCGGTTTAGATAATCTGCACAACTTTGGAAGGTTTTCGTTGACTTCGGAGAAAGAAAAATGGCTTTGAAGAAAAACGCCGGGGATCATCAGGGATCATACTGAAGCTGGAAAATGCGGTTCGTACAGCTTCTCGCTCCTCTTCAACATGTTCATAGTGAAGGGTAGTAGGAATACTTACGAATAGGTGCACAACGTGAAATCCAGGTATCTGGAGTTTCGAAATATAAAGCTTTCTTTTAAGCAGCGATCCCCTCCCCGCGGGGATGTTAGTGCATGCGGCCCTAAGTCGCCGAAAGGGGGGGGGGGTCTCGTGCGGACATTTGCGACAAACCACGCGTCTTCACCATGGTTGCCTCATGCTAGTTATCCGCGTGAAGCCTATCGGCAACATAATATCCTCCACCCTAGGTTCGGATCAAACTTGTGTATGCGACGTACGCTGAAAACGTAGCGAACGCTCGCATACTGCCAACGCTTGCGGTATGGATTGATCGTATGTATCATCATGCGCTCATCCGCTTCGCACGCCTTAAAATTGGGCGCAGCCTTGCACTGGGGTAATAATGACATTTGAGTGAGATGAATAAGCAAAGCCTAACGAACATCTACTTGTGGTGTTGTAGATAAACAGTAAAGCTACAAACTCTTTTTTCGAAGCTGATTGAAAGAAAATGATGGAAGGAGCCTTGTCGTAAACTTTTCCGTTTACACGAGCATTCAACGTTAACGCCTGAGTGTTTATTTGTCAGTTCATGATATAGTAGAAGAAAAACTAGAAATTGGTGCAAAAAAGAAAACAGGTTGCACGAAGTCAAAGCGGAGCCAAAGCGGATATAAATTTTTCCAGTATCGTCCTCCACATAGCGGGTTGAAAATGAAATAGTAGTACGACAATCCTGTAACAATGATTATCTTTTTGAACTACCATGGACGCTTGACAAACAAAGCTTAGAAATTCATTGCAAATCATCTACCAATGCATTAAACCTTTTGTATTTCATATGTCAGTCTAGGTCTCTTGTAGTCTGTCCACCGATAGTTTTGAGTAAAAGACCTATAAGACATACCCGTCAAAAACATGCAGAAGCTGCCAGACGAACGTGCTTGTCAGAAATACTAACCAGCGATCAGCAAATAGTGGGCTTATGAAGTGGTAGCTGATGAAAGCTATTAGAGAAAGTCCATTTTGACAGAGTGCCTGTAAGGGAGTAATGTGTTTAACAATTACCTAATCATATGGCTATTTCACAGGTCCGGGAACGCGCTGTATTCGCTAGCACGACGCTTTGTCGCATGTGATTTGCTTTGACGCGCAGCAGAGTCCACAGTGTACTCAGGAAATGCGAAAATTTTTTTCGAATATTCAAATATCGAATAATATCCGAAAATCGAAATTTTCGAATATTCGGCTATCGAATATTATTCAAAAACAGGAAATTTCGAATACTCGACTACCGAATATTATTCGAAAATCGAATATTCCGGATGATGTCGAATAATATTCGAATATCGAATATCATTTGTTATTCGAATTTTGAATAGTATTCGGTTTTCGAATATTACTCGATATCATTCGATTTTCGAATGCAGTTCGAATAATCAATGTCAATGAAATGACTGCTTATAAAAGACCAAAACATCTAACATTCAGTTGTTATTGAGAATACATGCTTTTTTATGTTATAATCTACGACAAAAACGGCTAGTGGTGACATTAAGAGACTTGAGAACCGAAAAAGCGTACTCCTATAACGGTTGCGAAGATTTTAGATCTTCAAAAATGATATATACCTTTCACTGAGAGTTGTGGACTGACATACAGGGGTCCCAAAAATGTTTGGATTTGTGGGCTGACTTCAACTTACACTTACAGTATGGAGCGATTCATCGGTGTTTCTATCACAGGATGCCCAAACAAGGTAATCAAAAAGGCCAAAAATCTTATATTAGACGAGACACTCAAAAAAATTGCACTCAGCCTTAATGCGTTTTCCACACAACGTTTTTCAGAAGGGGATTGCACATCTGAGAAGCTTTAGAAATTGTGCATAGTAAAATTAGCACGTCAAATCACTGCTACACAAATTTTTTAATCCTCTTTTGAGGAAATTCTTTTAGATGTCTTATTTCGTGGTTGCTCTACATGCTGGACGTTCCTACCGATGCCGCATCAAGAAAAGGTCGTTGAATCGTTTTCTGATTTATATGTAAGCTGCAGCCATCTCCACAGGATGTTATCCATAGGTTGGCGAAAGACTCGTAAGAAGGTATTAGCGATCAAACAGTGTGTAGTTACTTTTGGGACATCCCTCGTATAATATTGATATGATATCGATCCGAATATGCGACACTCATCGAGCTTCCGTATTCGGTGGACATAATGATCGAGATGACCTCGAATATTCGACTATCGAATAATATTCGAAAATGAAAATTTTCGTTTGTTCGACTATCGAATATCATTCGAACCACAGATTTTCGAATATTCGAATCGAATCATTCGCATTCGAATGATTTATTCGAATAACCGAATAATTATTCGAATCGGTTCAAAGTATAGTCCACAGGCATCACACCGCGCCGCCATAAGTACTGCGGAGCGACATCTCATAAATGAGGCCTTTGGAATAGCATAGTTGTAATACACAAGCACTTCATGGTAGATGAGAACACGGTAAATTATAAACGACGCTAATTTTTTCAATCAGAACACTTCACCTGTTTGAAAAATTTGATCTCCATGCGACGTTTTCTTTTCTGGGCCTCACTCATGAACATGCTTGCGTTGTTGGAAAACACCTTGAATAGATAGTATTACCATTAGACCAAAAGCAAGTGGCTATATACCTTGTTGGCTTTTCTAAATTTTGCCACAGCAACAACGTCTAACACAAATGTGATGATCATGATAATTATGCCGCATTTGTCAACATAAATAAAAGTTTTTCCCCAATGCGATCCAACAGTTATCCACCTCCACATGTTGCGATCGTAGTATATATGACAGTAAGAGCCTAGAAATACCAGCGACTGGGTTGTCAATTTTGCAATGTGCTTACCCCAAAGATAAGGAGAGGCGTGGCAAAATGCAAGACACCAGACGGCAAGAACCAAAACAAAAGAGTTTCGCCTTGTAAGCAACTTGGCCGCTTGAATTGGTACAGCAATTGCTATCAAGCGATTTATTGATATGCCCAGGCGGCAGTAAAGATTTGCATACCAAAATACAGCAATTAGCTGCCCCATGATTGTGTTTATTTGATCGTTAGCAGCTTCCTGTCTTAAATAGTGATTGTGACACATTTTGTTAAATGTGAGCTAGGCATACCTAAATGTTAGTGGTGCAGCCCAGATTAGGAATATGAGCAATACTCCCAAACCAGAAGCAGAGTGGGAAAAACATAATATGCAGAAGGAATTACGTCGCATAGGTTTAGAAAGAAGAGAGACAGTGGCTAAAGCAATTATAACCACTCCAGCTTTGCTAATCTAAAAAGCATGCGCCAAGTTTTCAATGCTAGTGAGTTTTTACAAACTCATTTTGGTTACAGGTCTACTGTAAGTATGTAAAAGACGTGGTGAGCCTTTTTCACTGCGCTGAACTGCAAATCTTCCTTGCAGTGGCGGACCAAGGAGGGAGCGGAGGAGCGCGGGGTCTCGAAATTTTCAAAAGTTAAGGTGCTGCGTGGCGAAGGCGCAATAACTTTGGGTGCGAACCGGCTTTATTAACCGCAAAGCGCTTGAGGCGCAGGACTTATAACGGTGAAAATACGCGCGCGCCGCGTTCGCGCCCGCTGAACCTATACCGCTTCTGCGCCTTTGCCATGCAGTAGCCTTTACCTACAGGTTTTCACAAATGTGCAATAACTTGTTTATGTTAGGTGGGTGCAAAAGTTTTGTCATTTTTTCAAATGACCTGCAAACCTCGTACAATAAAGATAAACAAATACTTCAAACTTTATCCGATGCAAAACTTCTTCCTCTTTCTAGCGCTGTATCTCCTAGTTTGACTCGCCAAGGAAATGCTGAGATAATCGCTGTAAATCACAGCCCTTCGTTTCACCTTTCCAACTTTCACAAAAAATTTTATTCGGGATTTTGGAGAAATTGTGATAGCCAGCAGAGAGGACAAACCTTTTGCCAACTAAAGATACACTTTTTCTTTTTTTTAGCTACTCTTTTACAACCTTGCTAAATAATTTTCCAAAAGCCTCGGTTGTGGAGAAACCGCATAACCTGCTATTGCAAAAAAACACTGCTAAATCTTCAAGCAACTACATTTCAGCACTCGATTATCATTATCACTAACTTTAAAAAGTAAATGAGCGATTTTCGCGTTAAAATATGAAGATTCAGAAAATTGGGGTTCATCAGTGCGCACTCGTGAAATTTAGAAGTACTGCGTTTCCCCTCAAATTTCCGCGTTATTCCAAGAAAAGAGAACTTTTAGAAAGAGGAGAAATAGTTGCATCAAATGGTATCTGAACTGATTACCGTTTCAAACTTCAAGGAAGATAGATTAGACCGAATATAAAATTCGGTTTCCTTGAAAAATATACATTGTAGAAATTCTAAAAGACATTTCAAAACTAATTATATCAATTGCCAAAAGGTTTGCCCTGTCTGCTGGCTAACAGTTTCCCGAAAGTCCCGAGTAAAAGTTCTGAAAATTAGCGAAAGTTGGACATGGTGAAAACGAAGAGTTGTGATTTCCAGCAATTATCTCAGCACTCTCTTTGCAAGTCACCTTGGGAGATACAGGGCTGGAAAGAGGAAGAAATTCTGCATCTGAGACAGCTTGAAATGTTTGTTTATCTTTATTGTACGTGATTTAGGTCATTTCAAAAAACTGAAAATCTTTTCACCGACCTAATACTTTTCCATAAGTAGAATAATTTCTGAATTTTTCAAAAACCCATAATTAGCCTCGTAAAAAATTTTCGGAGGGAAGGGGGGACAGCGCGCCCACTTTATGTATAATTTCGAAGTCATGGGCCTGGAAGAAATCCTGGGACCGCCACTACTTCCTTGTTCAGCATAATGCTCGCAGATCATAAACATGGACACATCAATCAAGTAGCAAATAACTATAGCAACGATTTGACACTATAAATCATAATGAAGACTTTGCGCACCTCGGCCTTTCACAAAATTTCAGCTTCAAAAGATAAGCAAGTTTCTGAGCTGAATGGCAACAGTAGCCCTAGGAACCTTTCTTTTACGAGCTGAGCGTCATTACACTTCGTTTATTAGGGCGTTGCATAATTTTTTACCGTTTTTACTCCAACCATCGTCTTTCCATATCTTTCCTTCAATTGATGTGGTTTGAGTATTCATTCGACAGAGCAAAGCAAGCTCTACAAAATGGCTCTCAAGGGTTTGAACAAATCGTTTTCCACGTGAAGTTTTAAGCTGAAATCTGATAGCTGTCAAAAACGAATTTCTCCGTCAAAAATCATATCTCCGTCCCAAAAAATGTTGAAAATCCTTTTATCCTAGCATATGCTTGACGCATCGAACATTCAATTGTACAATTTCCGTGTTTTTCCCATGGCTAGAAAAAGAAAAAATTGATCGGGGTGAAATGGCAAACTCCGCCCCTCGTCCTGAGCTCCTCTCACGCAGGTGATTATATAACTCATACATACAGAAAAGTACGACCAAGTTTTTGTAAACTTTATAGGTGCCCCAGTTCTCGAGATGCTGATTTTCAGGGTAAAAATGGAAAAAAGGTGAAAAATTGTGGGACACCCAAACATAAAATATGTGAGGAAATGAAACTAAGAACACTTAATACTTGATATGAACTCCCTCTTAGTCGTCTTATCTCGTTACGGCATATCTTATCGGCGCCTTCAAATCACACTAATCAAATCACTAATCTCAGTGAGTGAAAGGGAATAGCACTATCCAAAGGAATTTGCACTCACTGAATAATGTGATTTAAAGGCAGTGTCGAGGCAAATTTGAGCACACAGGTTTCTCGCTTGGAAACTGATGAGGTGCTCCTAACTAAGGCACTGATAAAACGGCAGCGCAAATCGTCCATTCACGGCTGATAAAAATCCACATCCACATTCCTCAGTCCTGCGCCGTGAAGGTAACTCGGAAATGACCGCGCTCACTTTGAAGTCTGACCAAAATTGAGGTGGTGGGGTCTCCACATGTTTCGTTAGAGAAACCCCTGGATAGGTGATCGCCTCAAGTCAGACTCGATCCGGGCCTTTCTACGCCGAGAGTTTTTCTCTCAAATTAGCCCGCGATGCGCGATTTGGGCGCAAGGCCGACGCTTCTGGTTTCCCCCTTACGGGTTTCAACATGTTCCTCCACTTGGCGTTCACCTCCATGGTGTCACTGCCATTGCGGCGAAGGCTAGCATGAGAAGGCACAACACGTCCGCATTGCTTGCACGCGGCTTTTGAAAAACCGGGTTTATGTGCATTTATGCGATTTTGGACCAGCATTAAGTTCGACAGGGACGAAAAGGCTTGCAATATGCAAAAACCTCGACAACCAAATTTCGGTGAGACACTGCCTTCAACATTGCGTCCGTGCTAGGACCCTTCAGCCACTGGGTTGCGGTCACGGCACAGGTGCGGAGTGTTTGAGGATGGATTTCTCACCCGTGGAGATTTCATTTTCGCTGCCGTTAAGGCGTTTATGGTACCCTCACCAATTTCCAGGCCAAAATCCATACTTCCCAGACCTGGATATTGCCTTCAAGTTTTAGAGAGCGGAGAAACGTAGAAAGAGCTAAAACAACTTTTTGTTCTGACCCGTATAATTCCGGCTTACCAGTGAGAGGATCGCTGACACAGACACGTTTTCGACAGACGTTGGGGGATTCGGCATGTCTGCTGAAGTAGGCTTACAACGTCCAGTTCTGATTCAGATTTGTCATTCCTAAAATGCAATCAAAATTTAACACTTTCATTCATATCTAGGAAAAATTGGCGAGTTATTCCAAGAAGTAAGTCTGTGTTTCGATTTCCCGTAGCTGAGTGGGTCTCGATCAGCTTCACATCTTCGTGATACATACGCAAAGCAGGCTTGAAATGTCTTGAAGTTCCTCCTCAATCCAAATATTGTTTTACTTCGCTCTTTGCTATCTACAATTCCTTCTCTGCATATGTGGTGCTCTACATACAGGGTTAGTGCGTACCCCGTGTTCTGTTTTTCATCGGCATACACTGGTTTGCTGAAAATTCTTAACTTCTTAGGTAAAAGCGAGGCTACATTCAGCTTTTAACCAGTATAGCAAGAGCTGAAAATGTTCAACAAACATTTAGGATTGTAGTCACGTGACTAGGAAGCTTCCGACATTATAAAGCGCGAATAGCACTGTCCCTCTAGTCTGCCTCTTAGTAGATTTCACAATTAAAGGAATTTAGGGAAATTTTGGAGGTTAGATTTATCTAAGTTTGATTTGGAACGATCTTCTTCTGTCCATTCAAACGAGTGACAACAGCGAAAAGGAACATTTGCGCCGCAGCATTTGAGCTCGATTTTGGACGTTATATTAGGTTGTCCCGAAAGTTTTGTCGGTTTTTTTCATCGCTCACCAAATCTCACAGAACACCAATCCATGAGCGGCCTAGGTGTCATTCTATTCATTTTTTTGTCCCCTTTCTTATAGCTATATTTGTTCCCTGATCTATCCCGTCTTTGCGATGTTATCGCAATGGCTTCTTGAGCACCTCAGCAGTAGCGCCAGAACTTTCCTGAATTGTCAAAATTTTTATCTTGATATTTTCGACGAGCGCTGGTGACTGTTATGTAGGGCAAACCTTTGGCTACATCGTACCGATTTTAGATTACGTGGGCCACATTTATCAGGTCCATTATAATTATTTATTTGAGAAAAACCGTGGCTTTTTGAACATGTTTTACCACGTAAAATTACCGAAAATTCCAAAAAGCTGATTTTTGAAGCAAATTAAACTTGGTTATGTTGCAAGATGATGTTTAATTACAAACAAGTTTGAATTCACAAAAACTTCAAAAGCTTTCATGCTTTTGCTGCAAATGCGCGTTTCGTGACTTTGCTAAAAACCAAGGCCTCCGGAGAAATAATTTTTTGAAGTTAAAATCAGCATGTTAGGAGTATCTAAAAATACCACCTTGTAGCCCGAGAGCTGCTCTATTTGACCCATATTTAGTCTTCTTCGAAACTTTGTAATGAAATTTTTAAAAATCAGCTCAACTTTGAGCAGGTAAAATTGACAGGTGGAGAATTTTGGCAATTATCGAAAAAAGCATACAAGATTATGGTAGATTATGTGTATCCATAAGAAAGAGAAGGAAAAGCTGCATCGAATGCATGTTGAAACTCACTCAGGTCTTTATTGTACGTGGTTTTACAGTGGTTTGAAAAAACCGACAAAACTTTCGGGACAACCTAATATATACCATCAGCAGTGTCATAGGGTTCTGGAGAAGTATGTAGCACATAACCTCGTCTCCAATATTCTATGTTTATTATAGATAGTGAAGTTTTATTCTGGCCAGACAGGTTGCAGGGCAATCTTATGGCAAAATCTCGAAAATAGGCTAGCCTGATCTCTCTTGCTTAATGAACTGGATCCAAATCATGCTTCCAAATTTCAGCAAAAAGTTTTTCAAAAAGGGAAAAGAAAACACAACTTGTCCACGTCATAATTTTGGGTCAGTAAACGATTGCTTGTACTTTGTGGGCCACTTTTTCTCATCTAACTGTTGCCGCAACAGTTTTTTCTTAAAGGAATTCGCAATTTTTCCCAGTGCAACTGCGGGCTGTTTAAGGATACTTCGCAGCCGCTGCTATCTTACTCTAGCAGTAGAAATTTCTCAAATTCTGGTTGGAAAGAGACTTTCTGGAAGATTTTCATACCTACAGAAGAGCGGTAAAAATTGATATGCACCGGGTAAGATCGGCCGCCGGGTGAAAGTAAAGAGTTTTGTGGGCGAATTTTTGTAAAATGCTAAAATGAATTTTCATCTGGGATTCACGTTTATTGTATTAAAAAAAACCTAAAAATCATGCCAATTTTTGGAACTTCTTCTTGAACAGAACCTTTTCCGCACCCTATAAAGAACTATAAAAGAATTCTAGATCTTTACCTCAACTACTGGTGTATTAACCGTTTACTGAGTAGAAAGAATGAGCGATTTTAAGGCCCAGAATTTTTCTAGTGTGCTCTTTGACGTTTCTAAGGCAGCCCGCGCCGCGTATAAGCGCCAGGGATACTTATGGAGAGCTGTCGGAAACAGACTGTATCACCGCGGCGCAGCCGACTTGCTGCTTTTGAACATGGAACAGAGACTGAGGTGAAACTTTGCAAAAGCTTCGATCAAGGAGCAAGTAAAGCGCTAGTGACATGCAAAGCAATGGTTGCACCTACGGAGAGAACTTGGATTACAGATTATTGGAAGCTAAGTGTCAGTGTCAGAACGCTCTTGTGCTCTGATAAAGCGCTTTTGGGAAATAAGAAAGTAATTATGACAATCAAAGCAAACAATGACCATATTGTACATATTACCGCTAGTGTTGATTTCAAAACCATTCACCCTTCTGATAACGTAAGTGTCCCTGTCTAGTGGTAAAAACTTCTTCCCTTGGAGCGCGGGTGCTCTGCCATTCCAATCTGATTACGCAGTTATTGAATGCATAACGTTGAAGATAGTAAAGAGCAAGCTTGAGCTCACGATTGGTACATGCGTAGTTCAAAGGCAATCCTCATTGCTCTATACTCTCTGTACTCGGTATCCAAAACATGTGATCTGTTAGAATAAACATAAGTGAATCTGGATATAGTGAGTGCACTCTGACAAAGTATGTAGTAGTAGTCTGTGTAGTAATCTCAAAGTATGCTGTTGTATTGGTGAGACATTATGGCATTGACTTTAATCCAATGGATTGAGTTCTATACATGTTGTGCAACCGCACAAGAAGCCAGCATTTGAGAAGAATGAACAAATATGTTAATCTGTTGTTTATGATATGTGATATAGTTGTGTGTACTATATATAGGCATTCTTTAGTAAGTATAGTTCATTCTTAGTTCCTTGTCGTCAAGTAAAGTCTCAAATCGTTCTTCCTTCACACGCCATGGCAAACACAACAACTGGCGATCAGAACCCGAACCCGACCCCCAACATGGACCCAACCCACCTTCTGATGCTGCAAATCATGGAGCTGCGGAAAGAAGTAAAGAAGAAACAAGGATCCAGCGAGGATTACGTGATGAATGCACTCGCTACTCGTCTACCAGAATTCGATCAGAACCCGAACCCGAACACGGACACGATCCACTTTCTAATGAAGCTCATGGAATTATGGAAGTCTTGTCGAGAACCCATAGCTGAACTGACGAAGCAAGAATCCAACGAAGAGTACAAAGACTACTTGGAACTGCAGAATCACATACAGATGATCGACAAAGCCAAGGTACCTCAGGTCAGCGTGAATCAGATGAATGAGAACCCGCAAGTCAACGCGATGCAGCGAGACGAGAAGCGGAAGCCATTCATCGGTCACAAGCCCAGAACACATCTTTGTATGAACTGCGGAGCGAAGACCCATAGGACCGGGAAGTGCGAGAAGCCGATCACTGAATGCAACTACTGCAAGAAGCGTGGACATCTAGAGAGGTACTGTCTGCGTAAACTATTTGTCGATGAAGCTAAGGACGTCCGTCCTGTCGTCATCTCACCGTCTAAAGAAACGAAGTCGCACTGCAATGTGAAAACCAAGAACACAAGTATCGAGTTACGACTTGACTGTGGAGTTGAAGATCGCGACACACGGATCAAGACTGGCCGACACAAACTAAAAAACCCAGAACATAATTCGACTGCTGCTAATGGGACCAGCATTACATGCCATGGACACGGCACATGTGAGCATGCGCTAAATGGCATTGCCTTGAATGGTACCACAAACTTACTTGATGGACCAGCTCTACTTGAAGTGCATTGAAACCAGAGCGACTGTGCCTTTCACATTGATATCGGCTGTCAGAATTTGAATGCAGTGACCGCTACGAACGATACACTCGACAAGAAGCAAACTCACCTGACAACACAGTTCGCAGAAGTGTTTCAACCCAAAACAGAAGACGGTACGAAAGCAACGGCTGCCTTTGCGCTCGAAAAAGAGGATGGAAGCAAAATATTCGGCAAAACTCATTCAAAGTCCACTCAATATGGAAATGTGGAGGTACCTGTTTTTTATGATATTACTCAATTCAGAAGAGCCGAATTTCGCGATTCTGGAAAAACCCGACAAGTTCGACATACTCGTCATCAGCAGTTCAATGAAGAGCCCGAGAGAATCGTCGACAACTTCCAGTGCCTGATATTCAAGCCGAAAAGGGAGGAGACGTCAGCCGCAATGCAGTTCCCGATGCACTGTCGCGATATATCAAGTCCAACTTTGGATGACTTCTCTTTTGGTGAGATGTTCACTAAATATGAAGTTCACATCGCTCCAGGTCCACTGTACTCGGCTGACGAGAAACATAGTGTGCGGCGTAAGAGGATGAAATATCAACTCAGTCCTCAGCGCGGGAAAGACCCACCTTTCACTTAGAAGGGGAGGTGTTGTGCAACCGCACAAGAAGCCACCGTTTGAGAAGAATGAACAAAGATGTTGATCTGTTGTTTATGATATGTGATATAGTTGTGTGTACTATATATAGGCATTCTTTGTAAGTATAGTTCATTCTTAGTTCCTTGTCGTCAAGTAAAGAACTCGGTCTCAAATCGTTCTTCCTTCACACGCCATGGCAAACACAACAATACACAAGGAGTCTAGTACATCAGGCGCAAAGTATAAACACCTGTACTGTTAGTTTCTACTATTCCATGTTTGTGCCATCGTTATTTGCTTGTAAAAAAAAACTCTGACACTTGAGGGGGTTTATGTGTTCTCTTCATGTGGTCTTGTTATAATCATGTCAAAGGTTGTTGAGGTGTTAAATAAAACAAGGAGTTATGGCATTTTTGTTACAGAAAAATAAAAAAATGCGAAACTCGAGTGTTTTTTTTTTGCATCAGTAAAGACCTGAGGGAAAGCCAACAACGGTTTCTGGTTCAAAATGGCTGAATTCCTTTACCAAAAAGTTGTCAAATCAAGTTTTATTGGGGCGACTATTGAGACGATCGCTCGCGTTCTTGAGCATTCGCGTGAGAGATCAAATGTCCGTATCAAAGCAGAGGTGAACATTTCTAAGTGTGATTGGCAAGTTTAAGAAAGATTTTTTAGGTAGAAGATAGTAATTGTTTGAAATCGAAGTAATTGTTTGAGATCGAACTGTTTGGTGTAGAGTCATGGGCATTTCTTGGCGTCAGAATTTATGCGCGCCTCCTTGTATATTGCACTGCGAGGGCGCATAATCACGGTTCGTCAAAGTGATTCTCAAAAATGTTTTTTTTTTCGATCTCTCTTAGTCTCGTGCTTGACTAACTCAAGATTCTCAAATGTTCACCTCAACTTACCCTAATTTCACGTAAAGTTCGCAGGGTTTTTTTTTGAAAGTCAAGCAGTCTAAGTACGACAAAAGATTTAGAGCAGCTTGAGGACCTCAGACAATCGCAAACGGCTTTCGGGGAAAAACTGAGCTTCTAAAAACTTCTCCTACGGGGCGAATGCTCTCATCGAGCCCCGTGAGTGTGTCCCGCCCTACCTGGCTCCGCCCTACCTGGCAGCACCAATAGAAGTGTACATCCCCCCTTCCCGGAATTTTAGAGATTGAGTTTGCCCCGAGAGTCTTTGCGCTCGTCTGCGACTGTGTTGCGCATTACCTGAGAGCGCGGTATAGCAATTTCGAGAGGCACAGGAAACCGCGGAGCTGCTAGCATTTGAAGAAGAGAAAGGTGCGCCTCGCATTGTGAAATTTTAGTAGTTGGCCTTCTCCATCATTAGCCATACAATAGAAAGTTGAACACAAGCTATCATAGCTTTAGTCTGAAGCAATCAACTAAAAGACTGATGAACTACCGCTTAACATGTTTTGCAAAGGTAAATATTTGCCCACAGCGCAATTCCAAAAATTGCACTTATGGAATTTCTCAGACAATCGTGAGGATAGGTGGGAACCGGAAAGACAGGGTTATAATAATCTTATCGAAATGCGCAGCTGAAATTCATAGATTTATTTTTTGAAGTGATTCCCATATGAAATTATACTGCCTTACAGAGCGTGGAACGCTAATTCCAAATCTGCTTTTAGAGTAGGCAAAGCGCTCTTGTGGACGGAATGAATTTCCTGAGGCAAAAATTCGAGGGCTTAGCTAAGGTAAGAACAGGTGTTGAGATCTTTTCGGCGCTTGAAAGCGGTGATGACTAGCATAAGTTTATTAGATTGAAGGTATTACTGCATAAAGGCCCTAGAAGTAATCATGGTTTACTTGAGCTCACGGACTACAGTGCTAAGTGGTTTCATTGTAGTGTCGCGTTCAAGTTTCTGCTTCAAAAAATTCCCATAACTTCCCTCTCAGAATCGCTTTGCAGATATCACAAGCGAATTTGGAATCAGCGCTTTATGCTCCATAAGATAGTATACATTTCATATTAAAAAGCCACTTTGACCCATGTTAATTCCCTTGTCAGAGTTAAGTCATAATTACCTCCGAGGTAACGCGAAATTTTCAAATTCTATCAATAGGTGCATATAAAAACCAAATGAGGGAAAGGATGATATGACAGGATACTCCGTAAGAGGCACTTTATTCAAAGTTTGGAAACATAGCGTACTCTCTCCACACAAGAAGCTACGCGACGAAACGCGCAGCTAAGCTCTGCGGTCTGAGTTCGGTAGGCGTTTCAGGCTCCGCGAAACTCAGACTAACTCCGAATTTGGTTAAGAAGAAAATTAGTTGCAGATGAAAAGGAGCAGCTAAAAAGTCCTATAGGATACTTGCTCGTAGTTCCAGCAAGCATGCGAGGTATCGTGGTGCATTTCAATACGAAACCTTGAGATTGTACAAAATTTTGGGCCGGGGTGTTATTCACACTTCACAGATACGGTTTTTGTCTGTGGCATATTCATTTTTCAAGGTTAGGGCAGGTACACGGTGGCTGGTGAGAATTACAAGGATTACGAAATTGATGGAAAGTTGAATTGGTAATGTTTTGGAGCGCTGATTACGAATGCGGTATCCATTTGCGGCTATACGTCCACATAGCGAGGTCACGATAGGTATACCGTAACTAGGCGAAAATCACGAAAATGATGAAAATTGGTGGAGCGGAGTGATTCGATGCGCTGTTTACGAATTCACCACTTATCACTGCGGCGCAATACAGCGGAACTACGATAGGTGGTGTATGGCAGTGGCGTGCCCTCTCCCCTTCCCCTCCCTGAGAACGGGTCGCGAAATTTTTGATCACCTAAATGTCTTATAAAAATTTGCAGAAGACTTGTTTTTACTTGTAAATAATTATAATTTTTGAAAATTTTCAAAATTTCAGACTAGTCTTGTAAAAAAAATTTTTCGGGGGCGATCAGGAACCGGGAAAGATGTTTAGAAACATCCCAGAAATCTTTTTCCTTTTCTAGAATTAGTCCGTCCCCTGACGGTCACCAAACGGTCTGAGATCGTCTGAAGCATATAATTCTGTCTCTATTTAAGTTCTAGATGTTACTATCATGGGCGGATTCCCCCGTCAAAAATCTATCCCTGAACGTGAGGAAATTTTCATATCATTGCCTTCCCTTTGTTTTTTGTCTTAATTTCTTCATAAATCGCTTTGTTAAATATCGCGCTCTAATGCCAAACTTGTGCATGCGCAGTATTCAGCTCCAATTTGGAATTTCAGTCTTATTTCACGTTTTTTCCTTTTAGACTAACGAATTTTTCTTGTTTTCATCTTCTCCTAAGTAGGTGGGTCAAAGGGGACTCCGTAAAACAACTAAAAGTCAGGGGAGACTTTGTTTTCAGAAACTCTACAAACCGACTCACCCGGTCCTGTACGCACCTTATTTTACAGGGTAATGCCATAGTTTCTAACAGCCTTTCATGAGCGCTGCGTTCGATCATCAATGGCTCAGCAGCTAAAATTGGCCAGTAAAAAACCCCCATCAGTGCAACTCGAATGATGTTGGCCTACGTTTAAAGGACGCCTCAGTCCAGCATTCAGTGAGCTATTGATTTAGATGCTGATCGCTTTCAAATCATGACAATCAGGTGTGTTCTTGAAAAATGTACCACTTGAGCTGATTTGGTCGAACAGGTAAGCGAGTTCAACACCGGCTAGCGCCACGCTTTTGCTATATCGCCTAGCGTCTTTGATACCTATCGCAAAATCGATGATGATCGCAATCAAGGATTTTGCCTAACATGCATGGATAAAACAAAAACACATTTTTTGTGTTCTAAAATTTCATGAAAAAATGAAATGATTGCAATGTGAACTCAATAAATAAATCAATAAATTCTTTTCTTGAGCAGCTTTTCAAAAAAAGTCAGCAAACTTAAAAAAAAATTCGTTTCCTTCCTTTCTACGTCAAAATCAGCTGTTCATCGACTCTCCTTCTCGGGTCGGGTATTGTGCGGTTTTACGCCGATTTTGTCTGCAGTGTTAGACAAAATGATGTGTATCGTAAGTTACTCAGGAGCAACTTACGGAAGTCTTCTCTGCATCTCCTTTTTTCCACACTTAACATAAGTTCACTATTGCACATCAGCTCAACTGAACTTGAACTGATGTGCAACAGTTGACTGCAGCGGATGATGGATGGCCAGCTGTCAGCTTACTTGACATGCTTATAGCATGGTAAGATGGGCGGCCATCATTTTACCTAACAGCTCAACTGATTAATTCAGTTCACACCTGAAAACTGATCGAGCTTTATTACAGCCATTTTTAGATAGCTCATCCGACAGGATGTCATATGATAGAGACCTCTGATATATGGATGTTTTTGTTGCCATGATAGTCTTCATACCTGTCCAATCTTTAGAGAGCCCTATCACTTGTTGTCACTAGTTTGCATTACAACTGTCTACTCATTTTGCCTTAAGCGAGCATAAAAGCTCAAGCTTGCCATCGTTATTCAATTTCTTCAATTTATATTTTGTTCTCAAAATTGACACAGATGTATTTCAAAGCTTTTAGGTAAAGTTTACCTAAGGTTAAGACTTGCCAAGCAAGCACTTTGCAAGGCTTAGCTGGGAAGGATCGCAGCTCAAATTAAAGTCTTATATCCTGAAGCTTCAGTTATTTGGATTTCACGCTATCTACCTATCTAACAAGGGAAGGACCCTCAGTCGCAGTAGGGTTTCCACTCGTGATGCATATCATTCTACTAGTCTTGGAGCACTAGTTCCAGATCCTTGTTCCATAGCTGCTCAATGATCTTCTGGAAAAAGTTATGAGCGACGGTTCTTCACGATGACCATTGCATATTATAAGGAACTAGCTGGCTTACCCGGCTCCGCCGTATGTTCCGAATAGAAAATTCCATTTCTTAACCGATCCGGACCAAACTTGCCACACATACACTTCGGGCCCCGGCGGGTGTCACAGGCTACTTTTCGTCACCCCCACGGGGGTGATCAGCATGCTTGATTACCCCCCTGTGCCAACTCCCAGCCCCGTAGCTCAAATTTTGCAAAAAATCGATAAAATCGATATCGATCGATGACGAAAAGTAGCCTATGACACCCGCCGGGGCCCGATGTGTATGTGTACTAAGTTTGGTCCCGATCGGTTCAGAAATGGAATTTTCTATTCGGAACATACGTACATACAGACATACATACAGACATACAGACATATATACAAACAGACATTTAGCTTTATATATAAGATTGTCTCCATTAGATTATAAGCCACTCTACTCATACTTCGAGCACTACGGCTACGCCTCTTTCAACATGCTTAGACAGGTAAGAAATTAGTAACGAGTAATCATGGCAGCAGAAAGGATTCGATACAATGGTGCTCCGTAGCCTAGTGGTCTAGTAGTAGATGCCCTATGACGGACTTCGAAAGTTCAAGTTCCTACCCATTCCTATAGTTCTGTGGGGACGCCTATGGCCGCTGTACAAAGCGTGTAGCGATTCCCAAAATAGCAGAAGGAAAGAGTTTAAGATACGAAACTAGGAGTTAACTTGGAGTACAGGAAGGAAATCTAGAGTTAGCTCGCTCACCCTCTAGATTCTAGAAAAGCGGCAACAAGTTCTGAAGGCCGCTTGTTTTTTGAGTCAGTGAAAAATAACAACCTGATATTGGGAAGCCAGAGCGAAGAGTCAACAAGTCCGCAAAGATCCGACGATTTTCTATCTGCGAAAAGAGACGGAAAATCAACGCGTTCCTGCTATGGACGTCCAAGTCGGGGTAGGCGATAACAGGAACGCGAAGTCGGAAGGTTGCGACTGATGATTTCAGCGTCCTGCATAATTTGCAAAGAAAGTAGCTATCAGGGAAAGGATGAAATATTGCATTGATGGCGTCGATGGCATGCGTCGATCATACCATTGATCATATTCGATTGTTGACAGCTCTATGACGCTCAAACATGCAGACTTGGGATGATTTAACCATTTTTTTCCTTTCCAGTTCGAGGAACGCGATAAAACTGCTACATGTAAATCTTATCGGAACGGATATTAAGGAAATGACGTGTGTATATGTGAATGTATGCATATAGGCGCCGTAAAACCTAATTGCCCGCGCCGTGTTTTAAACACCAGCGTAAGCGAGCGGTCGTCGCGAACGACTGTCGGCGTTCACTATATTCCAGAAAATCTTTCTTTGACTTTCATGTTGTTCTCGTCAGTGCAAGATATATCTTGACGAAAGCTCCTTCAAAAGTTTGGAAAAATATGTTTGGAAAGGGTGCGCGTTCATTGTCGCTCGAAAAAATCCTGTAGCGCTTCGGACCAAACGTTTCCAGCCGCGCCGCGCGATGGTGTTCAAAGCGAAGCGTGGCCAAATGGATTTTACGGGGCCTGTATATATGTGTGTGTCAGTGGGCCAAAAAAGGGGTGTGGCGCGGCAACGCCCGAAAAATCTTTTTATAAGGCTAAATGAAGTTTTCAAAAATTTTAAAAACCACTTTAATTGATTACAAGTATAGACAAGTCACTAGCACACTTTTATGACTCATGTGAGTAACTTTCAAAAATTTCGCAACCCATTCTCGGGGGTGGGGGCTCGGTACGCCACTGGTATGTGTGTGTGTTTGTTTGTACAGTCTGCCCCAATCGGGATCAGGCCGAACCGTCGGCTGAATTTGCGAGCTCGCAGCGCTAGGGGTTCGCTGCATACGCGCGCTGTCGCAGAGAGGGAGATTGAGGAGAGAGCAGACTAGCTAGACGCAGAAGTGGCGCGAAACGCTCGCGACGCGCACTCCCGCCTCCCGCCAAGCCAATTTTGGCCTGGTTAGGATTGGGGCAGACTGTATTTGTGTTTTGCAGAAGTAAGCAGTTAATCGCATTCCAAACAAATTCACGCGCCATCTTACTCGCAACTACATTCGTATCCAGACTTTTTGCAAAACCCGGATCCGTTTGTGGCAGTGTGCAACTCTACTCAGATATGTGCAAAAAGTACCCTAATTTCACGCGTATAAGGCGCGGGGGATTTTTTTCCAAAGTCGACCAGCCCGGACAAGCCAAAGGACTTTACAAGTATTCCGGAAAGAAATCCTGGCTGAGCGGTGTTTGAAAATTCGAAAAAGTGCGCCTTATACGCGTGAAATTAAAGTAGTTGAAAAGCTTTTCTTATACGAAGACAATGCTAGAAAAGAAGTTGTCAGCTTCTCGAGTCTATGTCTAGATGATTTAGATAACTTTTTGCCTTGAGGAAGGATATGGTTTTCGATGCTACCATGCTAGGGCCGATAATTAATTTGACTCTTCGTTAACTCTTCTGTTGTGAAGTTTCATCCCTTCCAATCTAACGAGCTCTGTGGCAATTTTGAATTCAGAAATGAATATTTACAAGGGATTTATAGGGTTCCGTGTGTGGGGGAAAGGTGCATGACTACTTGGTGCCCATAAGCAACATTGCATCGGAAGTGCTGACGAGGGCAGGTTTTGGACTGGCTTGTCGAGGAGTGGCAACGCTATGTGGAATTCCGCGCATACGAGTTACGAAGTTTCGCATGTGTACAGCAGCCCACTCCAATAATCGTCCTATGCAATAATCGAGCTCTATCTGCAAGGTGATTGAATTGTTTGGAGGCTATATCTCTCTTTTACGTCGTAGAACTATATTTGTGCTTCTTTATGGCGCGATAGTGCTATTCTATTTGTAGTAGTGGCTCTAATAAAAACAGGTCTTTTTACTATAATTAGTAGATTAGGAGGCTATTGAAATGAGGACGAGTGATCAAGGAATAGGAAGTGTACTGAGAACTCTTAAGATAGAGGCGATAGGGCAGTACACTCCGTGTACTGCCCTATCGCCTCTATCTTAAGAGTTCTCAGTGCACTTCCTATTTTCAAAATCCCAGGGGAGTTCTGAAACGAACTCCCTCATGAGTTCAATTATTCCGACGTCTCCTAGTACAAGCTGGGATGAGGGATGAGGGTTGCACAAAAACAAAGACAACAAAAAATGACCATTCCGCACGTTCGTGAAAAGAAAACAATATGCGCAAGCTTTTGCAAAAGAAAGCACTACTCTGAGTAACAAAACAAAAAACGTTTATAGAATGAGAAACCTTCTTTGCACTTCTACCTGCCACAGCGAACTGTATACCAGAAAAGACAGATGACTAAAGGCCTCCCAGTAAGCAGGTGGCCTTTAGAGTAATGCAGGGGTCTTATTTGCACGATGATACCCGCCGCCCAATAGGATTCAAAAACAGCGAATACAACAAGGCAAGCAACTCAGACAAAAGTACCGGACAAGCGGCGCCCCACCATAGGAGTCCCGGACAAGCGGCCGCATTCGCCGACCGAGCGCACTCTGTCAGGGCGGGCGTTCTGCAATCTGGAGTCACCGGGCGGACGGGCACAATCACCGGTTCAGCGGCCACCAATCAACCGGCCGAGCAGTATACAATCGAAAGATGCCGAACGAGCGCTTACAAACACCGGCCGAGCGGCATCATTGACCGGCAGGGGTCTACAATCGAAGTGCGCGAAATGAAGCTTTTCAGATTTGATGGCTACCTCATATTTTGATTAGTTCTTGAACGGTGAGCATTCTTCCGCCAAACCAAATTTGGACATGTTTTGTACCAGTGAATTTTCTGTAAAATATTTTTTGATTTCAGTGTTACTAGGGTACCACACAAACAAGTAGAAATTCTTCAAAACCTCGCGTGGTTTTGTTTATTTTTGAGATTTGAGATCTCAAATCCTGACTTTATTTTTTACACTGAAGCAATACTGAAATCAATTGTGAATAAATCAACGACGTTGCTCACCGTCCAATATAATGCACATAATTAAGATAGTAGCTAAAAGTGTCAATTAGCGTTGTGAGAATGATGGCACCTAGAAAAGACAGAGTGTTATTTATCCATTGAACTGAAACTCACCTGCTGAGAGAAAGGTCATAATCGACACTGTGTGGAACCACGAATCGGGCACAGGAACAAAATCACCGTAGCCAATAGTTGCAATGGATATGAAGCTGAAAAAGGTTAGTTATTGTGTTATCAATACTAATAGGTTGATGTAAATAGGGTCCGGCACGAGGTGGGCAGATGTCAAGCTGGAAGCCTTTTCAAGGTCGAAAAGCAAAGGAGGTATCATTTTTGCAGGGTCTGGGAGAAACCCCGGAAGAAATTCTAGGTGCAAGCAAAAGGAGGTCGAGTCATGCTTATGACCTTATTCTAATATTTCTTTGAGAAGTGATTCTCATAAAGCTCAACGCCGACAGATCCGCTCACGTCGAATCGCGACAATCACTACCGCAAGCGCGAATCGACTGACCGATGCCATTTGGAGCTGCCGATATGACAGTTCTCAGTGCTTACGTAAAGATATATCACCAAATTGGGCAGCGAACTTATTTCAGCGCGAAAAAGGTACGGGAAAACTATGAAATCTTATGTAAATGAGAGCTGCATTAAGCTTTTTTCAAAAAATTTTAGTAATCAAAGTGGAAATCCGTGTTCAAACGGCTGGTTTGCAAAGTACGGATGACAATATGACATACATGTTCGTAACTACGTGGACATTGGAGTTAACTCAATAAGTTTCATGGAAAAAGTTTGTGATTGAATGTTGTGGCAAGCTTTTTTTCTTGCAAGTTTCCTACTACCACAAAACGAAAGAACGGATCGTTTGCAACCTTAGATGACATTATGGCACGAAACTTGGTGTGCGTACGCGCGATGGGACTAACAAGGGAAGGCTACTTGGTCGACGTGGCTTTTCCATATAAAATGTATACTGTCTATAGAACATAAAACGCTGATTCCAAATCTGCTTTCCTTATCTGCAAAACGCTTCTGGGAGGAAAGTTCTGGGAATTTTTTGAGATAAAAATACAATGATTTGGCTAAGTTAAAAGCAGGTGTTGAGATCGTGACGGCATGAGTTTATTATATTGAAGATATTTACCGCATAAAAGATCCTAGTAGTGATTATGGTCCCATTTGAGTTCACGGACTAGCTCACGGTTTTGAATGATTTTATTGTAACCGCCCTTTCAAATTTCTGCATGAAAATATGCTCATAACTTTTCTCCCAGAAGCGCTTTGCAGATAGAGAAAGCAGATTTGGAATCAGCGTTTTATTTTCTACAAGATAGTGTACATATGGAATGCCACTTCGACCAAGTATCCTTCGTTTGTAAGAAGTAAAGCATAAAATTAAAGAAACCTACGTGAAGAAAGAGTGCGTTTGACTTTTTTTAGGTTAGGCGGGCTATTGTCCACCTAATGCCAACCTGAGATAGGCAAAATTTCCAATCCACATGAGTTTCTCAAAATATCTACATAAACCTGTTCTACACCTAAAACTCACCATATGGTAAGATTGTGTTTTTGAAACTCCTCCTCTCCTCTTTGCTCGAGCCCAAAATAGCATCAGCAGCACGATTTCTTAAGGAGAAAAGCGCGCTTCAATCGATATGCGCGAGAACGGCGTCACTCAGTCCTAAGGCGTTGCTTCAATAATTCTTCATTTCCCTTGCTTCTTTTTTTCTCGTGTACACATTTTTTCGTCCGTTATAGATTGTAGATTGTTCTGCCATTAATTTCAGGTGTATGTAGTTGATGCCTTTGTTTGTGCCTATGATTGCTACTGATCCTTATCAATTTTTTCGACACAATGATTACAAGTCTGTTAGGTTGAAAAGCTGTTCAAAGGCAGTGGATCGACAAAACTGAATAACTCGGAATTTTGATTCGCCATTTTCAAGCTCTGTAAGGTGGATTTTCGGCAACATCGCCTCGGATAATTTCACGTAAGTGAGAATTTTTCAGATGAAAACTGCCGAGCCACTGCAACGTGAGTGAGTGTGTGAAAAAAGTATACATGAACTTTTTTCTTATAGTTAGTGTCTTCCGCTGTTCTTTACGCTAGCATAATATGCGTGGGGCGTGATTGCATCTCTTCTCACTAAATCTACATCTAATCTTACTTCTTGATCATTCTTCCAATACACAGAGTTCTACAACGGCTGTTTATGTTTCGTTCTTAAAAGATATTTACTATTTCCAGATCGATGGCGCAACCTTTTCTATGTTGTCGGGGCTTGACCTGCGAAAAACTGCGCTGCGAATCAAATGATTACATGACATTAAGAGGCTCGGAAGAGCAGTTTACGATTTGAAGACTTGCAGCACTTTCTATGCCGTCTTCTTCCCGACTCCACTTACGGTGCCGTAGACTTTGTGTCAGCACCTCTACAAAATTCTTATTCGAACTGTGTGAAAGGGTGTTTTGGGTGTTTTGAAAGGGGGGAGGGGAAGAGGGAAAATCTTCTTGAGGGCTGCCGTAACGACACGTAGTGCTGGAGAAGCGACGGTTAGGAAACTCGTCTCTGCAACGGCAGCCACTGCCCTGGTCGCCGTTGCAGCAAGGAGCTTTTTCACCGTTGCTTCTGGCGCAAACGCTTGCACTCGTCCGTCCTCGCTGCGGTCTCCAAGGAGGTGAGGGTGAAGGAGAGGAGTGGAGTGTGAAGGGTCTGCGTGTAAGAGGTGTAGGAGTGTAGGAGCATTGTGTGAGGGTGAGGGTGTATGAAAGTGAAGTGTGGTGGGTCTGATGACTGGGTGTAGGATTGTCGAGTACATAGAGGCCAAGGGTCCCCTCTCCCATTTCCGCCAACGCTGCAGAAATTATCCGGCGCAAGGTTTTCTCAACCTCAGGTCTCGGAACAATCTTGACGTTTTTTTTCAATGTTGTTGTTAATATCCCTTCAATAGTTTTATTTTTAAAGAGAATTTCACGGAGATTCGTAAAAAAATTTTGGTGTCAAAGAGGAAATTTCTTGAAAAGCTTCTTTTGCCCACCTTGCTCCGATCCCTTTTAGGGCCTAGAAGACGAAATGCACGGTACTTTGAAGAAAGACAACTCGTCAAGGAGAGAAAAGTATTTTTACCTGCAATAAACTCCATCGAAGAATCGCATTTGTCCCAGCCACGTGTTGAAAATGACACCGCCCATAAGCGAATGCGCGCAAAACAACAACGCTGATATCCACAGTGGCAGACTTTTGGAGGCTTGCACCTAGAAAATGAACTTGAAATTTTCAAAATAATGTAAGCTAAATGCTACCTTGCCTCCAGCGCTTTTGCGTAGAATCCAGTATGCATCCACCACAAATTAGCCGTTATTTGATAATACCAAGAAGATTAGCGGTATACCAATGACACAGTAACCAACGCAACAAATTTTTCCCTGTGTGGTTGTGGGGTAAATGCTACCATAACCTAAAAACAGTTATTCATAAAACTGCATGTCTGAGATAAGAATAGAAATAGAGGCATAATTCACCTTGCTATACACCCCAAATTTGCACTACTTTGTTGAAACCATAAACTAATTTCAAAAGGCTGAAGAATCGGAGAAGAAGGGCTCCAGATTGACATTTAAATTAAAGCGTTTCGCACACTTCAGATATCCCGTACAGTCATGGATTACAAAAAGTCATAGTGGTGCAGGAAGAAAAATAGGAAGTTTTGACTTCCTGACATTCCGCATCCACTCTTATTTCCATCTCTTTCACATCCGTTTTTTTCTTTTTTTTTGAGTTAAAAAACATTTTGGATAACGTTAAAAAACTTAAAACTCAAGACACAAGGTTGATAACGTCTTTTTAGAAGGATCGTATCCCGCAAAATATCTTTATTTTGAGGCGGAGCTGATAATTGTCTGCGTGCACTTCTTGAAAAGTAGTGAGCGGTCACTCAGCGTCGTAGGGAGTATCAAGTGCAAAGCAGTTTGTTTATAAACACAAATGACTGCAGTAAAAATTCCGAAAAGTTACAAATGACGAAATGTTGCTCAATTATTCATCTACAGCAGCTATTAGGTTGGTGAATCTTTTCCTTAAATTATTCATCAAATCATGAACTGGATGTGCATTCGAGAATAGGAGAAGGCTTGCGATTTACCGATTTACGGTATACCTCATTCAACCTTTGACGGACTAATCTTCAGAGCTTTCAAAGACGGCATTACAGTATCATAATTTTCTGAAAGTCTTCAAAAGTGCTAGATAACCCTAATTAGCCCTGGTACATTTTTAAAATTTCTTATGCAGCATTTAGAAACATATACTGTGACAGGCTTTGTTCTCACTCAAAAATGCAAAAACAAACAGAGGTAAGATGTCAGACTCAGAGATTCTAAAGCAGTTAGAAGAGAGAAAGGCGATGCCAATGTTATGAGTACATAGAACTGAAAACACAATGTGAAATTGACGTTGAATGCTCTACCATGTGCAGGAATTTCAGTGAAGCTGTCGAGACATCGTGGATCTATCTTACAACAGAGGGACGAGGTCATCGTAGCCAAACTGTATGTGTTGTACACGGAGATACTCGTCTTCAAATGCTGACTTCAAATTTGTGTTCGCTATTTGCATATTTTGACACGTTGACGACAGTGTGCATTTTTAGCTATCTGCCTTGTGGGATAGTCCCATCTACAGTAAGTTGAGTATTTTTAGCTGAAATGTAACAGGCCGTCATCTGCAGTATCCCTACAATGATTTTGAAAAGCAGCTAAGAAACGCGGAAGTAATTCCTAAGAGTAAAGCATAAAAGAACTTCTAAACCACAGTCATTGCATGACCCGCCATGTGGGTCACATTGTCGTCAACGTGTTGAAAGTTATGAGCGTTTTCCAATGACGAAGTTGCACTACCGCGAAGATTCAAAATGGGCCTTGTGAGATTTTCATGGTTTTTAATGTATTGAATTTATCAAATTAATCGAAACACAATGTCGAATCACGCATTCGATGCATAGAGAATGGTAAAAAGCATTCAGAAACCTTTGTTGGGACGTTTTGCATCGACTTCCATTAAAAGAACTTTGGCTTGCAAGAGAGAATAGGAAGTTGATTCCCAGAAGGTGCAAAATAAAATCCTAGCTTTTTGTTTCTTAGAAAGTAATCATAACAAATTTATGATTCTTGGAAGCTTTATATGTTATGATACTATGTTCGGATCACTTGTAATTTTCGCTTCAAAAAAAAGTACAAAATTTTGGCGTTTGAAGGATTGTTGTCCCGCTATTCTGGCGCGGCCATTTCTGTTCTTTTGGTAAAAGACTTTTAGATTTTTCAAAATTCATATTGTTCAAAATGTAATATATGGGTTGCAGATCTCGAAGAGCTTTATTATCTTACGTAATCAGATCATTATTTCATCTTTGTTTTATATCTGAAAATAAGAGATGAAAAAGGAAGGCGGCTTGTCCGTATTTTGGCGGTCACTGTACATTTGGAGAATTATGTTCAACCTCACGACTAGCCTTGGGAGCAGTGTAGGGCGATTCGCACGATAATGCTTTCTAAAAGGACCATCGCCACGGCGAACAAATTGCGGCGGCTTTTGCCTAGGCTAAGCATGAGGAGGGAAGGTTTGTGCTGTGCGTAAGTAAAGAAAAGTCATCGGGGTGGCGCTAGAGATCCCCCCCCTGGAAAGACTATCTCCCCCTTATGAGCTACTTTGGTAGGCCTAAAAACCAATAATATGTTTGCTTACGTGGAACTGCTACAATAAGTTCTCAGCAGTGCCAAAACGGTAATACACAAAACCATTATTGCAAGATAAAATAGCCCACCATGCTTACAACTCATAAACACATTCAAGGCCGATTTGTCGATCACTGCCGTTTGAGACCAAAGCCTTTTCGCTTCGTCAAACTTACGACCCACCCGTGGGTCGTATTGTCGTATGAACTGAAAACTCGCAAAACTCAGGTTATAGACATCTTTTAGTCCGCGAATTGCTGACCAAAGATCAACAAGCAAAACTGGTTTTGCAGGATATAGTGGTTTGCTGCTCTCAGACTTAATGAGTTTGAAAACCACAACGCTCATTTTCTTTTTGTTATTAACGCAGAAGAGAACGTTTCTGATCGACAACGAGGGGCCTCCTGGTTCTGCAGGCTCTCAAAGTAAACATATGTACAAAAATCAACGTTTGCATAGCTATGCGATTTCATAATAGCCAAAATGAAAGTATGAGATGCACAGCTGGAGTTTTTATCGCAAAAAAGTAGCTAGACACTTGTCTCCATATGGCGTCAGTTGTATCATGGAAAACACTCATGTCTGTTGCCTCAAGGTGACAAGTGAATGCGCTTCGGTTAATAGGATGGTTCAAAATCACAAAGCTATCCTGTCAGGGTTCGCTTACCAGACAAACACGAATAGAATAGCTAACTCCGAAGGAAGTTTGCCACGTAAATCCAACCCACAAAAGTTTTTCCTGATTTTATACATAATTCCAACTTGCGCACCTTTTACACATAATTCTTCACACCACTTTTGGTGTCATGTCATTCCATTTTGATTGTAAACAAGGTTTTTGTTTGTCTAGGATATCACTGTATTAGAGCACGTTGCATCCGTGCCAGTGGCATGCCGGTGGCGTGCTAGCGGCTCTTCTTCTCCCCCCCCCCCCTCCCTGAACCCCTCAGGCCACCTGTGCATGAAAGGCAGGCTGGAGCTTATATTTTATTTTTATTTTTATTTTTATTTTTATTTTTATTTAATACACCCGAAGGCGTGCTTCATACAACCCGACACATCTAAAAACAGCCGGAGTGAGCTAGACAAAACACAAATAAGAGGGGAAAAAAGGAAATAACAACATCGTTGTACCGTAGTAATGAATCCGCCATCCGCATCTAACACGATTCATTTTGCACTCAGTGGAAGGAGGGGCATTTCAAGCTATGAAACTCATAGCATAGACAAGAAACAAAGTTAAAAACATTGATCACCTTTCTCCCGCCACCTCAAACAATCACATGAAGTCGTGAGAACAAACCAGAAGCCCGGCGCCAGGCTATACCGGCAGCCTCGCCAGACTACCCGAAACGGGAGCACTGGCAGGGGCAGCCAGTACCACAACCGCTCGCCGAAACTCTCGCTCCTCCCCACAGACACCCCAGTGGCTGACCGAAGTGGAGAAAGAAAGCAGATCAACGTCAAAAGTATCAATAAAAATAGCATTACAACCACTGTAATGCAAGGAAAAGGAAAGACCAGATCAAAATCTTCAAAATCAATTGAAGATCCTAAAAAGGATAATGAGAAGTGAAACTATTTAGTCAACAAAAATTACTGTAACGTGAGGTTTATGGAAGATATAGGAAACGTGAGAGAGGTACTTTAACCCCGCTTACTTTTACTGCAGGTCAGAAAACTATACGACACAACAATAGAGCAACTCAAAAGTAAAGAATGAAAGAGACAACGAACAAGGGTACTGTCCCACGTCACGTATGCCTAGCGCTTGCAGAATGTCCATTTTACGAGTGGCCTTTTTGAAGTGTACGTACGTGAAGTGGGGTAGTACTTGTTTATTGTCTCCTCTCCTTCATTCTCCACTTTCGAGTTGCTCTATTGTAGTGTCGTATAGTTTTTTAGCACTAGCGCTAGAAAAGCGCTTGCACAATGTCCATTTGTCCTAGCGTCCTAGCGCAATGTCCTAGCGCTTGCAGAATGTCCATTTTACAAATGGCCTTTTTGAGTGTGCTGAATTTTCAAGCATAAGAGAGTAGCTGGTAAACGTTTCAGCCATTTGGCGACTCTGAAAAAGAACGAATTCGTACACCTGAGCATAGATGCAACAGTTAAAGAAATTTTTCTGACCTTTTTATATTAGCGCCAGCATCTGGCTGACCCCTCTCACCTGAGGTTGAGACAAAAATCAAGGCATAATGGCAGAATCAAACAGCTGTTACAGTGGCACTTTTTGCTTAGAAAGGAAACGCCAGCTGCTCTTTTCTCAGACATCAAGACTGCAAGAGGGTATCGAACCAACAGCGTTTTCTTGAAAAAACGCATGCTTGAGACCTTCTGCGCACTCAAAGTGGCATTGCTAACGAAACGTCCAAATCAAAAGGATATCCGATTCTTTGAATTATTAACACTGTATCAACGAATACACATTGTCTTAAGAAAGAGTTAAGCAAGAGTAGAAATTTGAACTAGCTAGTGATGAATGCATGTTTGCTGACGATAATCGTACCATATCTCCTTTCACTAAAGAGGATAATAACGAATAAAAGAACAATTAGATTACTCGTTTCTCAAGCTTTCGAATCATATATAAAAGTTCGAAAAAGACCTTCTTGATTAAAGGATACTTACCCAGAATTGGCTGATATTGTAGCTAGATAAAACTGCTCATATCTCGCTTCACAGAAAAGTTAGCAAAAAAGAGACGGTTCCCCGTGTTCTTAGCTAT